ATTGGTGGTATAAAGAATGGTTGGGCGGGCGCATACATACAACTTTTAGTTGAACAACTGTTTTGTTGTGTTTCATATGTTTAAAAGAATATATTGAAGTGCACATACTGTCAACTCGATAGTTGCTCGATAGTCATCTCTTCAAGCAACTTTTGATATCTCCATTAGGTTGTGCTTTAAAAATGACCGATCAAGTGATTTTTCTTCCCTGTCCAATTTGACATTTTTTCCAAAAAATGTTCGGAAAAGCAATTATTGCTCGAAATTTCGAAAATCGGTAAAGAGAAAAGATGATTGTTTTTTCATTTTTTACCCATATACCAATTTTTAGCTCTCTAGTACAAATTTAGTTTTTTTACAGTTTTTCGAAAATTTGACATTTGCCGTTTTCTCAAATTTAGCCAAACCTGAACAAAGTTAGTGCTTTATGCCTAACTTATCTTTACAACGCATTTTTATTACCAATTGCAAATCTAAATACAACTTATTTCGCAAAAATTTAAAACACCAGAAAAAATTATGCCAAAAATGATGCAAAGTTGATACAGATTTTAAAAACAGATAAATATTTCACTTTATTTCTACTTTTACCTGGAGAGGCACCAACACAAAGAATATTACCTGATGTAACCCAAGTACAGGCAAATGTAAAGAGACATTCACCCTAAGAGGCTTGATACCAAACAGTTGTTGGACTACAGTAGGGATGAACTACGATGAGAGGCCTTCTAACAGGTTAGTGTCATTTAAATTATCCTTTGCAGAGACTCAGACTGTCAGAAGACAGTGTCTGTCGCCTCTGTTTGGAAAATGATGAATTAGCAGAGCACATATTTTATGCCTGCCCCGCTGGGGACCAAATCAGGTTTTTAGAGTTCGGCAGAGCCCTACTCTTACTACCTGACCTGAAAGACCACTCAACATACAAACTAATCAACTTCGTTAAGAAGCTGGGTTTATTTGCTCGAGTGTCAATAGGTGTGAGTCGCAATAAACCCTTGTGTGTTGCGGTGGAGGGTCGAATAGACCCACTCACTTTGGACCTTACCTAACCTAATCTAGTATGACCCGACTTCTTGCTTCACAAGTTTCAAGTCCGTACAAATTTCGCCAGGTCAATTATTGAAATTCAAAACTCAAATCTTCTTATTGTGAATCAAACATTACAGATAGCAAATATGGTGCAACATGTACGGCTATTTTTGAAGATTTTTCAGTGTCACTACTGGGGTATTTGAAAAAGTATTCATTTCAAACGACTACAAAAATTTCATCTATTTTATAAGTTCATGCAAGATCACTGGCAAAAATTGTAATATGAAATGATATTTTGGAATACTACCATTGTACCAGTTTTGCACTGTATTGAAGTTCTCAACTTGTTTTTCACAGAGTTGTTCCAATTCAGCTAAATATTTCGTTTGACGATCTGTGAATTCTACCATACGATTAAACTCATTGGTTGAATCCTTTTCCAGATCTTCGGCAGTCTTCAATTTCCTACATTGATAACAAAGATAAAATTAAAATGTACAGACAATACACTAATTTTCCATCTAAATTTTAATGAAAATTGGTTTCAGTGATTGAAGAAACATTTCATGATAATGAACATGGAAAACATGAAATAAATTGATAGAAATATATTTTGGGGACAGATTAGATTTCGGGAAAGAAGGGTTGTTAGCTTTCTACTTTTCCAGTTTGGATCTGAAAGGGACTTCTATGTAAGATATTCAAATGATTTTTGACCTCTTTCCTTCCTTCAAAAGTTTCCCACATTTTTAGTGTGGAGATGGAGAAGCAGAAAGCCTTTTCCTTTTCGAAAACATGATGTTTTACCTTTCAAACCTCCCTATACTATCAACAGGTACTAACAAATATTTGGTTATATCGTACGGTTCAATAATTTCTGATTGGAAAATATTTGGATTCAAACTCCTTTCTGTCAAACTTTCACAGAAATCAGGATTGGGAACCTTATTTTCTTCCAAGAAATTATTCCTGAAACATTACAAAATTGGTTGAGGCTTTTGCAGCCAAGATTTTCAGTGTTACGACCTTCGTTCGGGTTTGAAGGCCGTCCTAACGTTTCGCCAGCACGAGTGGCTGGCTTCTTCAGAGGTCTATTCATCTTAATTGATCACCGATGACTCATAAAATCATCATCATTGTCGGAAACCACTCATAAGACCATCTCAAGAACAGAAGCCGTCCCGCCAAGGCTCTATGGTCTTCCGAAGATACAGAAAAAGAAGTTCCGTTGAGATCCATAGTGAGTTCACCGGGTTCACCTACGTGTAACTTGTCAAAACACCTTGCATCGCTCCTCCAGCCTCACGTTGGAAAAACAACCACGTACGTGAAGGATTCAACAGACATTGTGGGAAAAATTAAGAGCCAAGTGATATTCTAATCAGTTTCGACGTTATGTCCTTGTTCACCAATGCCTTGCTGGAAGATTCTTTGAGAGAGATAACCAACCTGTTCCCTAGTGATATTGTCAGACTCTTCAAGGCATGCCTCACTGGAAGTTACGTCTAATGGAGAGGAGATTTCTATGAGCAATTAGACGGCGTAGCGATGGGAAGTACACTCAGCCCAGTAATAGCCAACTTCTTCATGGAGAAATTTGGGAAGAAGGCAATCGACGCTTTTGATTTCAAACCAACCATTTGGCTACGATACGTGGACTACACCTTCGTTATCTGGAGACATGGAAGGGGCAGACTGAACTTATTTCTGGATCACATATATGCTCAACACCCTAGCATCAAAGTCACCATGGAGACTGAACAGGAATTACGAACAGCTTTTCTAGATGTACTCTTCGAAAGGCGTGGCACAAGACTGACACATAAAGTTTACCGAAAACCGACACACACGGACATATATCTGCATGCGCTTTCGAACCATAATCCAAGTCAAAAGCGGGGAATTATCAACACCCTGACGAAACGTTCCCGTAGAATATGTGAACCGGAACACCTACATAAAAAAATTGGAACATCTTCAAGTGGCTTTAAGATCGAATGGATACAATGTAACCGAGATCTACAAGGCCATGAAACTGAAGACTTCTACAAGTCAAAATAGGGAGGAAACTCAAACGGTTGCACGTGCGTTTCTACCGTACATCCCTAGTGTTACAGATAGAATCGGAAAAATTCTAAGGAAGCATAACATAAAAACAGTGTTTAAGTCCACCAGGAAAATACAGCAAAGCCTGAACTCTGCGAAAGACAAAAGATATCCACTATCAGCTGCGGGGGTGTACCATATACCATGCACCTGCAGAAAAGTTTATATAGGTACCATCAAAATATCCATGAGTACAAGGCTGAATGAACATCGGAGAAACTATGATGCACTGTTTGGAAACTTTGGTAAAGTAATGAATATTACTGGAATTTTTCTCAACACCAAATCGACGCGTGTTTCGACCACCAAGTGATCATCTTCAAGAGGGAAATTGAACTGATTTCCTTCCTCTTGAAGATGATCACTTGGTGATCGAAACACGTGTCGAGGTGTTGGAAATAACCATTTGGTGTCGGGAAAAAACTCCAGTGATATTCATCGGAGAAACTGTTGATTAGTTCAAATAGAAAAATCGGCAGTAGCGGAACACGCGTTTAATGAAGAAGACCGTTCGATACTGTTTGAAGATGTGAAACTACTTGCACCTGATCATTGATACCACAGTCGGCTTGTACGGGAAGCCATAGAAATCCATAAACATACAGAAAACTACAACAGAAAAGAGGAGGCGATAACGCTTAACCGGATTTGGAATCCCATATCAAAAGATTCTAAGGTGGCAGCAGCGCAACGCAATGTAACAGGTAATAACACTTCGGCCGAAGATGCTAAGGTGGCAGCAGTGCAACGCAATGTAACAGGTAATAACACTTCTGCCAATAACAACGCACCAATTAGAAAGGCGGGCTATTTGTATCAACATAAATACAGCTTACGAACTAGAAATCACTAGTCATCGGTGATCCATCAGGATGAATAGACCTCTGAAAAAGCCAGCCATTTGTGCTGAAGAAACGTTAGGATGCAGTTCCAAACCACGACGGCCTTCAAACCCGAACGAAGATCTTAACACTGACATTACAAAATATTCAAAAAACTTTCTGGAAGTCGGTTGTGAAATGATATCAATAAAATCAAAAGTACTCGATTTGGCAGCTTCAACTTCATGTTTCGTTCATAATATTTCATTACGAAGTGTCCGTTTTATTTATAAGCAATTTGTATCTGCGGATAAGAAGAGAGATCCTACCTAAGATCCTGCGATCTCTGATACCTCGAACTATCCTTCTCGTACCAACTCATTTTCTTCATTTTCACATCTAATTCTTGTCTATCGTCTTTCAAAAACGCCACAGAATCGCCTGCGTTAAAAATCATCTCCATGGCCCAGGTAGGACTTTTGCTATCATTTCGTTTATGATGCCTGAAAACAACAATAATATGCGGACAATGAAAAAGTCAATTATGAAGGATTTTTTGAGGCTTCTTGACTCTATGTATCACGAATAACACTCAGGTGTAACTTTAATTTTCTTAAAGTACTATCTTACAAATTGTAGTTGAATGAAAACAAATCATATTTTCAGATGATTCATTTCATTTCTCAAAAGTCGGTCTTGGGACCTACTCAGTTTATGATTCATGTAAATGGTAGATTGTCATTAGTCTTACTCATTATTATCTCTGACGAGGTAACATTTTAAAAATGTATCTAAGATAAGGACCTCCAAGACTTTTCAATTTCAGGTAGAATTGCAATAAGACACAAATAGCTTGATTGAAAACGACATTTCAAAGGCTCACAAAAGATCCACCTCTCGAGTGGCATCGTTACATCAACACTTTGGGTTCCAAGTTCTCTATACACTAATATCTGCAATCTGAGAAAATAATGAGCTGAATTGCATTGAGAACATATCAATCACGGGATGAGGCTTTGGATCAACTTCAGTCAATCTTCCATGCAATTATATCTAGTGAGACAACTTGACATAGTTATAAGTCATGTTGCTTTGATGGAAGCCAATTTTTTCTATCCTATTTCCATATGTGTCACATAATTAGGTTTTGATGTAACTTCAGTCTATCTTCTGAAATTTTCAGGTGTCAAAAAGTAGCTATACAAAGAAAAGCCAATGTTGGTTGGTGTGATTCTTGTAGAACTCTGTTTGAATGAATTGAAAGTCATGAAAATGTATCCAAATCATATCCACAAATCTCTTTTATGAATTCTTGAGAATATGACAAAATATCGAACTCATCCAAATTACATGATTATAATACAATGAATAAGTATCATCTGCTAGTGACCCGGTTTAGAATATCTACATCAATTACTAATTCTCTTGATTTGAATTTGTGTAATAAACCTCCTTTACTAAGGAGATGGACGTCGATCAAACAAGTGTTCTCCGTGTAACATCGGATCAAGAGAAAGAACTCCTCAGTTCTTCATTTTTCACTCTTGAGCAGCAGAATCTGCAACAAGAGAGAGAGAAAACCAATTCTTCTTGAGCAAGTCGGTAAACCATTACGCTCGATTGACCATTCACCAAACCAGGTGCGAAAAAGCTTCACATGGCTGACTAATATATCGTCAGATGCCTTCATATAGAAATTTTGCTGCGGGAATTAAGGTGGGAAACTTACACCTTCAACATGCAATAATCCCAATATTGACCTGTAAAGTTTTTCAGAAGATGTTTCACATGTACGACTCCAGCCTAGATAGCTACAGGTTACATGAAAGGATCAAGAGAACATCTTATGGCTCGTGGGTATAATCAATACCCTGCAGACATGGGAGAAGAGTTTCTCTGATTCAAAGGGGCCCTATTCACCAAGTCATATATTTATGTTACTTCTTTACATAACAATCGTAGTGGAAAAAGTGGCTTCTTCAACACAAATGAGTTCAGGCTCTGGTAGCAGAGCACATATTTTATGCCAGACCAGATCAGTTTTCAGCATTTGACAGAGTTTCACTCTTGCTAGCTGACCTGAAAGATCACTTACCAAATGAAGAAGTCGACTTTGTTATTTTGTCGATCCCTAAAAACTCTCGAAGGTTGCAGCGAAGAGTCGAGTAGATATCATTCACTTCGGACCCACCTGCTACCTAACTACTACAATAATGAGTTGTCATGTGGGTGAGCTTTCCTACTGATATATCTGGTCCCTCATTATTTATTTTTCAGTCATTTTTATTTTTCAGCATTCACTCAAATATTTGTTTTTATAGTATTATGCTATGATGATTGCAATTGAAGAGACTTCTTCATTTTCTGTGAGTTTTACTTGGCACTGTGAATACTTTGTACCTTTTCATAATATGTATTCATGTTTTGTTACTTACTACGAATGTTTTCTACATAAATCGTCAAAAAATATCTATCTAAAAATCTACTTTACCCTTCTCCACCCAATGGATCACCTAGAAGCAAATCTTTTTTTAGTTTTTCAACAACTTGCCACTCATTGGCAGACAATGGCCAGGAATCTTCAACTACGAAGGCTTCAATGTAGTATATGTCTGGTATAATAGTTTCCATTCCATTTTTACCGGCGACGCTAGTTTTTCTGGCTCGATGTGTAACTAAAATAATCCGAAGTTCTTAAATATGAGGAAAAATCAACTTTATATACACTAGAATACTTTTGTGACTGAGAATATACCGAAAACATTATGAACAAACCAAATCAATATTGAAAAAAAGGAACAGGTAACCATGAGAAAATACCTTTGGCGAACTTGGATCTAGAGATTTTCTTGTCCATGGACTTCATAGACTCAGTGTATCCCATTTTTCTGTAAGTACCTTCCACCAGATTTTCCAACATAACTGATGGTACTAAGCAACCTCCTATTCCGGAAATTTCTTGGACCACCGTTCCCTTTCGATGTTGAAGCCTCAGCAAGACTTTCGCTTCCGGGTAATCCGTTGTGAAGTGAATTGTCAATAAAACAAACTCAGATCTCACCATAATCCGATATTTACAAATACGTCCTTTCGTGTTTGGGATATAATGCCCTTTAAGAATTTCGGTTTTCGTGAGAACACTGGGAAATGACACTGAATCTGCAATGGATACCCTGTTTGTGGCTAAAGCCAGCTTGAATACTACTGAATCTAACGTTGTGGTCCAACCATAGCAAAGGATAGTATATCCATTGCAGTTGTGGGGGTACTCAGCTACTACAACATTGTTGGTGAAAATTTTAACTTCATATCCGGTATCATTATTGAAAGCTCTGACTATGTAGTTGCTCAAATCACAAAAGAGCTTGATTCTGATCAACAATGGCATATACGAGTTCACAAAGAAAACTTGCCTACGTAAAACGATCCATCCTTTTTGAGCACTTCTTGCAACGTTCGGAATCGGATAGAGTGCTATAGTATTGCGATTATCTTCGTAGCATTGATATTTTTTTCGGAAGTCATATATATTTTCGTTATTGAGGAAATTTCTCAGCAACGTAGTACCTGTAATACGTGTATTGTTCATGTAGCAATTTAATATCAGCAATAACAATTAACTGAGGAATATTTTCGATAGTTTCACCGTGGAGTGCATTGTTCATCGCAATAAACGAGAAAACATCCCACATTGTGATTACCAAGTTATACTCCTTTCAATTTTTTTAAAGGAGTTAGTGGTTGAAGAGAAGTGATCATCAATAACTCACCTAAGTTTAAACCACCTTTTTCAGAAAAGAGGGTATAATAAATCCTTTGCAAGCATTCACCAGTTTTCTTGTAATGTTTGTTGGAAGTTTTATGTCGCTTCAAGAGCGCTCTTACATACCAACTTCTGAAGAATGATTGTATTGTTAAAGCAGCCTTCTCCATTATCTTAACGTACTTCATGTCTTCTTGATGAATGGGGTAGCAAAATTCCGTCAACTCGCCTGTCTGCTCTCTTGTAGGAAACTGCACTTCCCTGAAACCAATTTTCAGAGCTTCCAATTCATCTTCCCCCATATTGATGGTTACCAATTTCTTGAGCTCGTCATAGAATGCTTCGTGAATCATCTTCAGCTCGTATTTATCCAAATCGCTCTGAGGTTTGTAGGAGGAATAGTATTCCCTCAATCTTGCTTGAAATTCAGGTTTTCCAAATGATTTCACCATCGTTTCGAAACATTTAGTCACAGCTTTCGCCATTTTTTCTAGTGAACGTGATTCTTCTGCCATGAGAGGATATATTTCTTCCAGTGTTCCAACACACAGGGCACCATCAGAGAGAATCTGAAACATTTATTCCATTCCCTCCATTATATCCCTCAATCCTGAAGACAAATTATTTCCAAATCTAGTTCAGAACCACAGAAACATCAATCAATATATTTATTGAACTGACCTGTGTCACGTATGACATTTCAGATTTGATCCAGAGATTAAATAACTGCTTTCCTGGTTTCAGTTTCAGGACAACACTTCTAGAACCAAAGCTAGTGAGAGAATCAACAAAATCATCCACACGCTCGTTTCTCCATCTGCAACTTCCAATCACAAGAGTAGCTTGCGGCTGATAGTGATGCCTGTTCATAGACACTTGGACGATCTTTTCCACTACTTCGAATTCCCCTTCCTTCTTCCGGATGTTATCGATAACTCTCTGAAGAAGCATNACGGAGCCACCAGCAGGAACCAGCCGCACATTTGTGGTTTCAGTTAATAGATCTTGTGTTCATCATATGAACTGAAACACAAAATCAACGGAAACAACAGCCACAGCATCAATAATTCAATAGAACTCACAGACAAAATCTCAATGACAAACGTCAGCACGAACACTAAACTATTCCCATTCGATATAAAAAACATGTGTTCCGACGTACAGATCAACGAAAGTATAAACATCATATCAGAGAAACTAAAACACCAAAACATAAACAGGACCTACATTAACTAGATGAAATCCACCCTCAATACAATACTCAACCAAAACTATTTCGAATCCGAAGGAAAAGTTCATAAATGAACAGATGGTCTAGCGATAGAACACCCACTATCTAGCATTATATCCGAAATATACCTGCAAACCATAGATGAGAAAATTTTCAGAACAATCAAAACACACGATTAAAAAGGATATTGGTTCATATATGTTTACGATGGTCTATATACATCACAAAACAAAGGAATAAGAATAGAACAAATTACAGAGGAAATTAACAAAATGAATTAAAAACTCATTTTCAGCATAGAGAAAGAAAACGACTCAAAACTCAACTAACTGGACATAACTATCGGATACAATCACAACAAAACAATTTCAAATGGCATACCCAATGCCACCCTCAAACAAAATGGCTGCATATGACGCTTTCATCTACAGAATGCTAAGGATACCACTTTGCAATGAAGCCCAAAACGAGGAAAGGAAGTTTATATACCAAATAGCAAACGAGAACGGATATACCCAAAATTGGAAAATTGGAATATAGAATAAAAAAATACAGAACAAGGATCAGACTACTCCAACAGTTGAAACAACACAAAAATGGACTGCATTCACATACATAGGTCACCAAACCGAAAAATTACCAAACATCTTCAAACCCTTGAAAATTAACACCACTTACAAGCCGAACCAGAAAATAACACAAAAAATAAACAGCTATGAAAAAGCAGAAGACAAAAATCTAAACGGTGTGTACAACGTACAATGTTCGGTCTGCAACAAATTCTATATACCAAGAAGAAACTGATCTAAACGTAAGACGAGCACAAAATAGCATACGTCATACAAAACAAACATAACTTTCCCCACCAGAAAACATCAAACTCATAAAACAAGTCAATAAAGAAAACCATATGAATATCTGGGAAAACCTAAACATCCATAAATTCGAAAGCCATAATTCACTTATCGAAGAACAAATACAAATCAAAACACAATGAGACCTAACATTCAATATACTTCACAAAACAATACACATTTCTAGAAGCAATGAACCTGGAGAGGCACCAACACAAAGAATATTACCTGATGTAACCCAAGTACAGGCAAATGTGAAGAGACATTCACCCTTAGAAGCTTGATACCAAACAGTTGGACTACAGTAGGGATGAACTACGATGACTAGCCTTCTAACAGGTCACTGTCTTTTGAATCATCCTTTGCAGAGACTCAGACTGTCAGGAGACAGTGTGTGTCGCCTACGTTTCGAAAATGATGAATCAGCAGAGCACATATTTTATGCCTGCCCCGCTGGGGACCAAATCAGGTTTTTAGAGTTCAGCAGAGCCCTACTCTTACTACCTAACCTGAAACACCACTCAACGTACAAACTAATCAACTTCGTTAAGAAGCTGGGTTTATTTGCTCGAGTGTCAATAGGTGTGAGTCGCAATAAACCCTTGTGTGTTGCGGTGGAGGGTCGAATAGACCCACTCACTTTGGACCTTACCTAACCTAACCTAGTATGACCCGACTTCTTGCTTCACAAGTTTCAAGTCCGTACAAATTTCGCCAGGTCAATTATTGAAATTCAAAACTCAAATCTTCTTATTGTGAATCAAACATTACAGATAGCAAATATGGTGCAACATGTACGGCTATTTTTGAAGATTTTTCAGTGTCACTACTGGGGTATTTGAAAAAGTATTCATTTCAAACGACTACAAAAATTTCATCTATTTTATAAGTTCATGCAAGATCACTGGCAAAAATTGTAATATGAAATGATATTTTGGAATACTACCATTGTACCAGTTTTGCACTGTATTGAAGTTCTCAACTTGTTTTTCACAGAGTTGTTCCAATTCAGCTAAATATTTCGTTTGACGATCTGTGAATTCTACCATACGATTAAACTCATTGGTTGAATCCTTTTCCAGATCTTCGGCAGTCTTCAATTTCCTACATTGATAACAAAGATAAAATTAAAATGTACAGACAATACACTAATTTTCCATCTAAATTTTAATGAAAATTGGTTTCAGTGATTGAAGAAACATTTCATGATAATGAACATGGAAAACATGAAATAAATTGATAGAAATATATTTTGGGGACAGATTAGATTTCGGGAAAGAAGGGTTGTTAGCTTTCTACTTTTCCAGTTTGGATCTGAAAGGGACTTCTATGTAAGATATTCAAATGATTTTTGACCTCTTTCCTTCCTTCAAAAGTTTCCCACATTTTTAGTGTGGAGATGGAGAAGCAGAAAGCCTTTTCCTTTTCGAAAACATGATGTTTTACCTTTCAAACCTCCCTATACTATCAACAGGTACTAACAAATATTTGGTTATATCGTACGGTTCAATAATTTCTGATTGGAAAATATTTGGATTCAAACTCCTTTCTGTCAAACTTTCACAGAAATCAGGATTGGGAACCTTATTTTCTTCCAAGAAATTATTCCTGAAACATTACAAAATTGGTTTAGGCTGAAACAGTTATCTACCGGTGGCTCTTAAATTGAAATCAATATGGGAATCATCAAAAAGAGTACTTATCTATTTCCTCTTTCCTCTCATGCAGACCTACGACTTTGTAAGTACGTGTGGCAGATACCCAATGGAAAAACAAGGCTTCAAGGCTCTTGAAAAAAGCATATTTGAATTCGATATTCAGTAAATGTACAGTGAAAGAAAAATAGCATGAACTAAAAAATTGAATGCCATAACAAATAAAAACTATGAAATCCTATTCTTCATAAAAATTTGGGACTGACAAAAGACACATCTATTTTTTTCAGAGAACATTACGAATTAATTAAAGAATGCATATTCATCTCTTGAGCTAATTTACACGCAAAGACAGTTTTTGTCGGGGAAGGTAAAAATATGTTCTGTGACTCCTTGGTACTCAACTCTCAACACTTTAACCACAGTCCTTGCTTGAACGGAGTAGATGCCCGTCGAATACAGAAAGTGCAAATTTCATGTGCTCGACTAATATATGGTATACGTAAATTCATTCGAATATCTATATCGGAAAAGCTTAAAAAATTGAAGTGGCCCAATATGTAGAATGGGCGAGGTCATCATATGGCGTGTATGTTTCACAGCATATTTAAATCAAGTACACCACCCCATCTTTATAAGAAATTGAAGTACGGGACAGACGTTCATAATCTGAATATTCGCCGTCAAACACTGCTTACTATACCTAGACCCACAAAAGAAATATACAGACGTTCTTCCTCTAACAATGTCACAATTTGTATCAGCAATATTTTCAAGTTGAACATTACATTTTTAGAACTATCGCCCACAGCATTTCGTTTTGAATTCAAACAATATTTATTTGATGCCCATGGAAGTCACGACTGGATTACAAATAATGCTCTCTCTCTTATCTCCTTTTTTTTTCTCCTTCTCTTCTTTCCCTTCTATTTTTATTGCTCCTTGGAAAACATTTGAAATGTTGACATCAAATTAGTCATTAAGCTGTGAAATCATTTTTCTTCATCTCTTCTGGTCGTGATGTAAGATCCGAAGATGTATCTGCTATTATCTGAATCAATGTTTTCCCTCTGTTGTTCTCATACCCCAATATATGTGTGTCGAAATTTTTATTCTTTTTTTTTTTATTGTTGCCTACATCTTCATTATAAGACATATTTTTAACTGTAATATGTCGTGGGAAATAAAATTATTATTATCATTATTATTATTTTTTACTGTAGTATGCGCTGGTCAGGCCGTATCCCCCGAAGCCCCGATACATTCGGGAAGGCGCGCCATCATTATCAATCACTCCCCACACCGTGGGGTGAGTGATCATTGGGTCCGAGAATCATGTACCCTGAGCAAGCGCAGTGAGCCAAGAATGACAGCCTTCTGCATCTGTGCGGCTAAGATTTCTGCCTTAGTGCGGCACGCCGGTATGATTTCAAGATTCGAGAGTAGAGAGGGCATCATTCCACCATGGACTCCAATAATCAGAACAACCATCTTGACAGAGTGGTCTGGATATAGTCTGCGGAGTTCGAAGAGAAAATCTCGATATTTTATCCATTTTTCATCCTCTTTTTTATAGAGTTTTTTTTCTATCACCAAATGAGGATTCACATCGCTCCAGTAACGACAATTATGTCTGTTCACTTCACCATTCAACATGGAAGAACTTCCGTCTGAAAAACATGTATTGTATAATAGGTTTGGGTTATTGGTCAATTTCTCGCTGAACACCTCACAAAACTGAAGTCAACGATCAGGATCATCTTCATTTAATTCCTGAACTAGCCTTATTTTGAAAGGATGGAATGTGTCGGCTTTCAAAATCCGAAAAACACTAGAAGCTAATACACCAGACGTTCTAGCTACTTGTCTAATAGATTGTCGATTATCCATTTGTACATGTCCTGAAACTGCAACTCCAAGTCCGTCATCTCTGACAGGACGGGCGGAGCCTTCATGTTTTCTGTTGTGAACAGAACCTGAAGTTCGGAACTTATTCATTAACTATTTAACGTATTGATATGGCTCACGTTGTGGTCTGGATGATTCGTATTATAAATTCTTACAGCAGCTCCAGCACATTTATTATTTCGATAATGGGTTGCAACAATTTCTATTCTTTCTTCAGTGTAATAAACCATTTTGGAACACAGTGGAATAATAATTAGTGACGAAGTGACAGTGGCCAACTATATATTTTTTGTTCTGCGACTAGATTCAACAAAAACTACCAGTGCAGAAAAAACTAACAGTGTCGTCCATTTAAAAACGTTTACTACTAATTAAATAAATTCTACAAATCTACAGACCTGCGACAGAGAATTGTTCGAGACTGCCGACTTCTGACTCCGGACATCTTCAATAATGTAAGGAACGGTTTCGACAGTATGAAACTAGATGGAAGTCATTTTGAACACTTTATCCGTTGATTGTATTGCCATTGATATTCCTTTTGTTGATTTCTCCAATAAAATGAGCGACAGTGAATTTTTTGTTTTTTCTTAAATAAAACGTTCAACATTCAATTTCTCAATAACGAAGAAACGAATTTCAAAAAAAAACAGAAGTAATAGAGGGACAAAAGTCCTTTCCAATGATATGCCACTCGACCCCCATGCTATTGAAAAAATAGGGGAGGAGTTGCTGACCGTAGGGGGCTGAAGTTTCGGGTATGTTTTCCATATCAGAATAACTCCCCCTAGAGATTAAAATTGACGTGTTCTTTGAAATTTTAGATTACACGTCCGATTCTGACTCACAGGGGGGTCAAATTTTCGTTGAAACGCCCTGTATGATGAAATGAAGAGAAGTAGGATATTTTCAATACGTTCAGATTGGTTACTGGTTTGAATTGTTTTAGAACAAATAACACACTGGAGAGCTTACAAAGTACATAATCTACGTGGCTGGACCATTTTAAGTGATCATCAACGATTATACCAAAAAAAAAACATTTTGTCTTTATAGATATGAATAGTAATAGTCAATTAAACAAAATTGATGTGTTGCGAATGATGAATTTCATCAACCAATGTTGTCATTGATTGATAGATTTCTTAATGCGATTTTTGACATCAGCTTATATCTACATACTTCAATTTATACATTTCATTTTTTTCATCACCTATGATTTCAATTCGACTTTTATCCATAAATATTCTGTTGATTCTGTATCTATTCATAGAATAAATATAATCTTCTTTTGATTGAGTGACACTACTTGTTTTCCAACGTACACCCACCACTGTCTTTATCTAGTCCGAGTAACTCTGAACATCGATTTCCTGAACATAACAAATTTGAACTAATTTTTCAATAAAAAAATTACCTGATGGTAAACTTCCGTATGTGATATGGCTTGTAATACTCTCAACTACTACCGATCTGGATTTCTGGTTGTCAAGAACCTCATTATCGTAAACACTCCTGAACGGATCGACAGTTTTCAAACATCTTATGGGAACAGAGCTTTCCAAAGGGGGAATTAATTGTTTCTCGATAGCCCAATCTAGCCATCTGTATTGCTTCCACCTTGGGAAATCTGCAATAAAATATGCATTATAGATTTCAATAGGTAACAAGATATCTCAATAAAGGCTTCACGAACTTTATGAATTCATATTGTGTGAGGATGTTTCAGGGTTCACATTGATATTTTCTTAATCTAGTTACAATTGTAAAAAATAATATATAGATAATACATTAGTATCAATCACATCAATAAACCACAAAAACAAGCACTTTATGTGAATGAAAATGTACTCCAAAAATTTTGACTGAACATTTCAAGGTTGCGAGAAAAGTGAATTTTACAGTTTTCAATACGTTTTGAACTGTTTTATACAATCAACAAAAAATTTGGAAATTGTTTCTCGCGCACCAATGAAAAGACCAATGATTTTCATTCCACCATTAATTATTTATTTCTCCTCAAAGAATTTGGAAGTTGGTTCATTGATTCATTTTTCCCTAGTGTCAAGTTCAGCAGGTTGTCTCCAAGCAGGCGTATAGCTCTTTTCTGAATAGAATTCAGCATCTTCCTAAGGAGGTCTGATCAAAAGTTGATGAGGTGGCTACGGTTTTCTGGTTCGGAACAGTGTTCCAAGCTTTTGAGGAGCAGCCTTTGCAATTCCAGCGACATTAATTGTGCTTAGACGTATTGGTGCCCGTTTCAACCCCCCAACAAACTTATCGAAGCAAAAAGCGGAATTGTGCCTCCTGACATTATTATATCCAGTTCGGAGAAATAGTTGGAGACAATTTGTATCCCTGGGAAACACTAGCGTTGATGGTAAAAGTATTCGAGAGATATTTACCGGCCTCTTGCAGGAAAAGTTCTTCAAGGAAGCTGGAGAGCCATACACAAAAATGATTCGACAAGCCGTGTTAGGAATCACACGTTAAAAGGTGAGACCTCGTTATTCCTTAGCTAGCACAAGTTTCGTTCGTAGGGCTGCGACAGTTGCTTAACGGAAACAGATTTTGAAACAGACAGACAGATATGATCGAAGTTTGGCCAGCAAACCCCCATGCAACACACGGTCGAAGGCCTTAGAAATATCAAGCGCAACTGCTTATGACCCTTCATGTTTCTTGATTGCGTTATTCCAAATATGAGTGACATACGATGGATGGTCGCCGGTTGATCTTTGGTTCCGAAAGCCATGTTGATGATCGCTCTAGATGTTGAAGCCTCCATAATTTTTGATATTACTGATATTGTTTTATTCAACATAAATGCAATGTCCGTCTTTCTGTATATTGTTTTAATGTCTATTCTACTAGTGCTACTATTGGAAATATAGTTGACTTCCCCACAAACTTCAAATTTTTTAGATAATGTGGTGGCTATTAGGTGATGAATGATGTGACAATATCCCAAGACGTGAGGTTTCAGTCACAGTACTTCTGCACTGAGTTCTATTCTGGGATCTATCTGTTATTTCTCTTAGACTAACTATACATCCTGTGTTTTCAATAGCTTCTTTCCACTCAGATGTCAGGCTCTCTCGAGTCTTCATCCAATAATTTGCTGGAGTGTATTGATTGTATAGTTCCACCCCTCTTGCTTTCATTTTCAAAATTTTTTCAATGTTATATTCTCTTACTCTAAGAATATATCTCAACTTTCACCCAGAATAGGTCCACTTGTCATTGCTGATAACTATATTCAGTTCTTTCAAACATGTGTCAGCTTCGTCATCGAAGGATCTTATTTTGTCAAGTGGCACATTCTGTAGTGATATGAGTTATATTGGAGCTTTGAAGAAACGCTTCCCATGATGTTTCAAAGAGAATTCTTGGAAAATAGTGGAGCAAACACTCTGAAGGTAACGCCAGCATCTCTTCGAAAGAAGATTTTGTCATATTGTTGGTATCGGAGAGAGAGGGTCCACTAGAATTAGTGGTCATATTGAAAAGTTTAGTATTTGAAATTTTTTATTACATTTGAGCAAATGAGAAAAGATTAGATTTTCCAAATTTGATTTCAATTTGTTGATGAATTTTTGTGAATCCTTTACTATCTCTTCTTGAAAGGTTACACCCAGATATTTCATTTTATCGTTTTTAGGTATGAACTGGATAAATTTTTTTGTCAACGATGACATGGCAGTGAATTTTGACATTCATAATTACGCTTTCATCGTTATTTGAATTTGAACTAATTTCAGAAAATTTGCCTTCGCCAATTTCAGTGCGAATTAGCACTTTTCTCATATTCACCAATCAATACAGTATCATCAGCAAAATCTAAAATGGGTACGGAAAGAAAGTTTCTGTCCGAACAATAGCCATACAAATTAGGAGTAGAAAATGTTTTGTTTTCGTTTTTCTATTGGAAGTTTTAACCTCTATTGAATTATTTCGTTGAAGGTTCATCAAGATGTTCTGCAATTTTTCTGGCGAAGAGGAATGTTTTGTCAAGATGATCATGGCCAATGTTATCGTAGGTTTCACTAATGTCCAAAAATACCACTGTAATGTCATTTTTATTAAATTTCTATTTCAACGGTCTATTGAGATTAGAAGTATTCATATGAGATCCTGGAAAATACCTGAATCTTCTTTGGTTCACAGTGAACCAAGATGTTGAAGACAATATCTTCGCAGACCATGATCAAGCTCTCAGTTTCCTTCCGACTTGACTTCAGAAAAGCGAAGATCATTTGCATTAATAAGCCAAAGTCGGTATCGAAAACAAAACCTATTTCATTAATCGCTCTGGTCAACTTGAAATTGAAATATGAAAGCAGCAATTAGCCCCAATACGGAACATTCAATACATAAAAAAGATTTAATGAGAAGAAGCAAAAATCTGATCAAAACATGTAAGAGGTATCAGATTCAACTATTAATCTGCAGTAAAAAGAAATGAATATCTGATATCTGGTATTCGAATGGGTTTTTCTTTCAACATTACAAATCCACTCTTCACCTCAACATTTGTGAAAATTTTAGTGATTCATGTTTTTCATAAAATCGGGTAGAACCTTAAAAACTTGGTTCTTTGTTCTATTTTTTTTGTGCTACTAGCACATCAAATTCACTTTTGTTCCTTGTCTGATGATCATGTTCTATAGGGATTGATTCCATCCCTCCTTTGAACTGTTTGAGCAGAATTGTTTCCGAAACACTTTTCATTCCAAAGAAAACCAGTTTCCAGATAGCAAGAACGTGGAAAATGAAAAAAAAAATTAAGAATCAGCCGATCGGTTTCAACTATTTTGTTGCTGATACTCAAGGTGTATTTGAGTACCCTCCTGATGAGCAAATTCAAAACACTTTTCATTCCAAAGAAAACATCAGTTTCAAGATAGCAAGAATAGGGAAAATGAAAAAAAAAGATTAAAATCGCCGATCAGTTTCAACTATTTTGTTGCTGATACTCAAGGTGTATTTGAGTACCCTCCTGATGAGCAACAAATTCAAAACACTTTTCATTCCAAAGAAAACACCAGTTTCAAGATAGCAAGAATGGGAAAAATGAAAAAAAAAATTTAAATCGCGGATCAGTTTCAACTATTTTGTTGCTGATACTCAAGGTGTATTTAAGTAACCTCCTGGTTAGCAACAAATTCATAATACTCCGTATTCCAGAAAATACCGGTTTCAAGATAGCAAGAACATGGAGAATAAAAAAAATATTAAAAATCGGCCGATCAAGGCCAACTAGTTTGTTGCTGATTCTCGGAGTGTATTTGAGTACCCCCCTGATGAGCAATAAATTTGAAACACTTTTTATTCTCAGGAAAACCAGTTTCAAGATAGCAAAAACAAGGGAAAAGAAAAAAAATTAAAATCGGCCGATCGGTTTCAACTATTTTGTTGCTGATACTCATGGTGCATTTGAGTATACTCTTGGTGAGCAACAAATTTAGAACATCTTCAATTCCAGGAAAAACCAGTTTCAAGATAGCAGGATCAGAAAAAAAATATTTAAAAATGTTTCGCTATATCCAAGGTTTAGCAACTAAATAGTAACTAAATTTTCTGTAGAGATCAAAGGAAAAGTATATAATTTATTGAGTTACCTTGCTACCTTTATATCACGATAGCATTATTTGAGATTTCTAGGGATCGGCACGAGCAACAAAATCGTTGTTTTGGCAACTAATTATCAATTATTTAGCTACAAATTAATGTTTTTTTTGCAATTTTGCTGGATTCGCCATGCTAGCCTGATAGGGCTTTTTCTGTTTTTTCATTTCGGACGCTTCAATTGTTATTATTCTTCGAATAAAGTTATCATAGATACATTAGACTTATCATTATCACTATCAATAATTCGAAAACTGGAACTCACCTGCTTTTTTCGATGGTTTGATCAAGGGTATGTCTCTGCTCTGATCAACAAGAATACTATGGCGGACTGTCCCTTTAGATTCTGGTCTAAAAAATGTTGATTCATTCATTATTTCTCCTTTCGTATATCTAGTGATATAGTGATACACAATCAGCAGTTTTAGATTTTGCTATACAATTTCAAGTCGACGTAAATTTCGGATCTGAATGTAAAATACTTCCTCTAGATCTCCCAGATGCATTAAATACAATGGATGACGAAATTTTAGTAGAAAATAACAATTGTGGAAATCTCATTCACATTGTTTAGAGACTATACTAGACTATATTAGATAGGAAGCAATTTGTTGCTGATCAATTTTATGTGGTTTTCCTGAGGATCGATTATGAAACCACTCATATTACTTGTTTTCAATTCGTTAGCTTATTCCAACTTAAAAGAGAAAGTATTAATGTTTGCTGACGACAGACACTACAATGATATATAGGGATAAAGTTAACACAGATGAAAAATAATATGATTATCAATCTTGATGAAATATTGTTTCGCTTGATATATCACAAAAAGACATTATGTTTTGATAATTTTCTTTCATGTTCATCATCGAAAAAACCTATAATTGATAATTAAGGAACACATAGTTATTTTATATAAATTGAAATATATTCTTGATATCTATTCATAGTACAAATTGAAAGTATGTGCTTCCATTTACTTAGTGGATAATAATTTGAATCATTCTTTGATGGCCAATTCTTTTTCAAAAAGTTGATGTTTCTTACCGTTCTTTGGGAAAATTGAAAACACCTGTTTTTCAAAATAAGAATTATTGGATTTTGAAATCGGAAAAAATATGGTTTTTCTTTGATTATTCAGTTTGTTGGCAATATTTATGAATACAAATCACTTACTAATTGAACTCTCCATTGTTTTATATTGCGCAGTAACTTTTCGGAAACTCCAGAAAATATATTGGACAATATACCGTAACGCCATGAAATATAGTGAATTATCAAATTCATTGAAAATATTTTTCTTGGTTTTTGGTTTTGGTTTTTCAAATAACACACTATTCATTTATATTATAATTATATTCTTTATTATCAATTCAAGAAATGTTCAGAATTATTTTCATTCTTTTCAAGACAATAATAGAGAATTTTCAAATTCTTGACGCATAATCGCAAATGTTTCTCTGGAAATAACTTGTCATTTTTGGATTATTATTTCCTTCAGTTACTCTAATGAGTCAGCTTACGTCTTGACCCCAGGGAAAGAAATCAAGAAGATATATGTCCGTGGATCTAGGAGGCCATTTAATAGGACATCTTCTTCCAATTCATTGATTGGTTTAATTATCATCTAACCATTATCTAACTGGAACTGTATATTGAGGAGGTGCCCTATCATGTTGAAAATGTAATTTTTTTTACTAAAGATTAATTACCATGATGTCTTTCTGATTCTCTAATTCATGAACTATCCGGAATTCGATAAATCTTTCTAGCATATGAGCATACATTTCGCCATTTAAATTTCCTTCTATAAATAATAAATCAATAATTGCATGTACCAATATACCAGGCCAAAAATTAATTTTTTTGGGGTATTGCGTATGCCCTTCTCTAAATAGTCGTGGATTCTCGTCACTCCAGTAATGATAGTTTTGTTCATTTGCATGCCCGATTAAATAAAAAGTTCACTCGTCACTAAAGAAAATATTTTTGATGAGTCGAAATTCTGCGATAATTCTAGCTGTCATAATTCCACAAAATTCATTTCTTTTGTGGGGGTCATCGTAACCAAGTTCTTGAAGGATTTGCATTTTATATGAATGAAATTTATGTAATTTGAGTACTTTCCTTACAGATTCGCGGGATAATCCGTTTACTGTAGTTGCCTGACGAGTAGATTAAGTATGATTCATTGCAAACTGTACGAGTACTTCAATTTGCTTTGCTTCGTCCAGTAAACTTTTCAGATACCTTTTTTATTTGTGACAGTACCGTTTTTTAAATTTTGCTACTAGTTGATGAATGTACACATGACTTATATTTCTCTCCGGGTACTTCTGGCTGGTTGTTCTTAACAAACACCGATCTTCTTTACCATAAATAAAAATCATTTCCACATGTTCAGTCGTGTTGTACACCATTGTTGCAAATGAAAATTATGTTTCTCGTGTACAACGTATCGGAATAAAAATCGAATTTATTAATAATAAGAGTATCGTTTCCCGTCTAAAGTAAAAAATGCACTACAAAAATACCTCTCAAAAGACTCCTTTTTGTTCCTTTCAGTTATCAACTGAGTCAAATTTTTCAGGTACAGATGAACAAAAATAGTATAGGCGTGAAATGCTATGATAATAATAAGAATGTTTTTGAACATTTCCTAAAATGATAATAAAAAATAAGTGAATACAGGTTAGCTATTACATTTTTTTGTTTTCCCCTTTTTATTATGAGAGACGTTTTCAGCGATTTTTTATACAGTGTCATCTTCGATAAGCGGATCAAAAAACACAACAGAACCTTACTTCAGTCGTCTGGTTTGAAGCACACAGGATATTTCTTGAATCAAATTTGACAAGTCATTATTCACAGATTTCAGCATTACCATCATCATTGTTGAACTTAACTTATTCGGAATATAATTCTGATTCAAAATGGATATAGTGGAAACATTTCTCCCACACCAGAACCACTATTTTAAAATTAGCAGGAATTTTGTCTGACTCATGAATTCATGATTGAATTCATTGAAGTTATATATAAATGGGTATGAAGTTGAAGTTGAGTAAGTTATTATTGAATACGGTGAAAATTGTGTTGTAGTTCTGTTTGTGTTGGACCCACTTGCAAACAGAAAAATACTTTCTCTCGACGGGTAGTTGATAAATTCTCATCTTTAGATGATGTTAACTCTAAACACGCATCTACAAACAGTATTTGTGTCTGGATGTGGGAAAGGCGTTTTCATTGCATTGATTCCGTATCATTATTAGATTTTCTTGATACATAGTTGATCATTCCATCTTTCTGTAAAAATGATGATAAATATTCATCTCGTTTCCGAAATAAATTTTTTACACTCAATTCCATTCACTCATTACTTTGAATAACACAAGGTGAGATAGCAATCTCCCTTGAAGGCATCTTCATCTTCTTCCGCTATTTTGGTGACACTCTTTAATTTCTTGCTTTTGGATTCCTCCAATTCCTCGGGCCATGAAAACTTGGTTGTGTGTTTCCTACAAAAGTCCCAAACCTTCTCCAAACCAAGACCTGAAATGGTCAAATACAAAATGTTCATACAAAAGTCTCAAATGAGAAATCAGCTTAAATATTTCTGTTTCTAAATTTAAGTCTATTGAATTGTTTTATGTTGCTCAAAATTCATACAGAGTTTTTATTTCTCAAACAATATTTTTCAACGTTCATGCAAAAACTTTATAGGAACTAAACGTATTTTTTCATTATTCCTAACAAAAAACGTTGAATTATCCGTCTTCTTCGTTATAAAATGAAGAAATATTTTTTTGTCTGATATATCAATAACTCATTAATTTTTTTTTCAGTTTGAATGTGCATAAGTTTCATCTTGGAGATGAAATTCACCTGGAATTAAATTCGATCTAAACTTGTTGTACTGGTTCTGTTGGGAATGATTCTCATCAAAACATTAGAAAATTTGTAGTAATAGGTATATTATTGTTCTCCAACAGTATTCAATATGTTTCTCTTATTGAGATCAAATATGTGTCCGATAATATCATTGCTGATTCCAAAGAAATTCATTTATTCACTTTGGCCAGTTGATATAATACCCATTATGAGTTTTAATTTGTTTGTTATATAATTTGTTGTATTTAGGTAATCACAGTGTCCCATAATATTCAAGACTTTTTTCAAAAACATGGGTTCCCACCCCGCTCAAATTCTATGCTTTCTTGAATTCCAGAATAATTTGTAATTTTGAAGAATGAACTTTTATTGGGGTACACTCTTGTTTTGGTGAGGGTTTTCTTCTTCCTTCAAATACAAATTCACTCGCATCATTTTAGTTTATATTTGCATGAACGTAGGAAAAAAATTATTATTCGATTCAATTGATATTATGCTCTCAAGATGATGACAATGAAATGGAATTAAGAAGCAAATATACCTCCGGTGTACATCTTAAACGGCATCCAACCTGTAAGACATTGTATAATATCAAAATCATTCAGTTCCTCTTTGTCGGTCCAAGTCAGACTAGCCACCTTCATAAGGGCTTTGGACAACAAAAAAGGCCACATTTCGACCACGTTTGATTCTTTGATCCTGATTTTTTTCAACTCTGAATGTTCTCTTTTGGATATGTTTACTTGTGAGGTCGTTTTGGAACTAGCTATTCGTGTTATCTGCTTGTCGATTTGCAGAGAAGGCAGCATCAATTTTTGGGATGTGTCCAATGGTAAGAAGTCGTCTACGTAGACCTTTCTCCAGCATCCCATCCAGAAGATCCGAACTATGTACTTTCCTGAGGGATCAATACTTTAGTGAAGAAAAAGAATAAGAAATAAGTCAGTTTGTTGAATTCTTATCAAACAAGAATCCTGTCCTATTGGAAAATGGAAATATCTCTCTACGCCGCCTAAGTTACCATCATCAGAAGATGTATGAAACTGAATCCCACTGCTGTACACTTTTTTTTACCCTGATTATGTTAATGACTAATTACGAGACTTCAAATTTCGCGGACTACGTACTTTCGATAAGTTATTTTTTTCATGTTGGTACAATTTTCTCGAAAAGGTGTTTCAGCTGTTGAACATGAGAGGCGGGACTACCTGAGTCAACATAAATACACTCCACGAACTAGAAATCACCAGTAATCGGTGACTCATCAAAATGAATAAACCTCTGAAGAAGCCAGCCACTCGTGCTGGCGAAACATTAGAATGCAGTTCCAAACTACGACGGCCTCCAAACCCTAATGAAGATAGTAACACTCCCTCTAATTATTACTTTGAGAGAGTAAATAACGGGCTATTTGGAATGAGGCTTTTGTCGCTGCTCTCATTCCGCATTTTTCGATTCATTAACCTTCAGAAGCGTCTGAAAGTCCGTTGTCGTATATCAGTTTCAACAATTTCTTGCTTTTCCCATTCATTCTGTAGCCGTTCTCTGAGGCTTGTGAGCGACACTAGACTTTTCTGGTCTACCATACCTTAACAGCCTGGCCACGGACATTGGCCGATGCGAATATTCGCGCGGTGCGAACGACGAAGCGTCTGGCGACTGAAACAAACGCATAGGAATGTACTTATGAAGCCACGCGCAACGGCGACCGACGAAAAATTACTGTCATATAATTTAGATTTTTGCAATAAATAACATAAATATCTAAAAGTGTTTTTATTTCATGAAATAATAATATACAAGGTAAAATTTCATTAGCTGATAATATTTTGGGCAAAGATAGTTCCAAATAAATTCAGTTATAAAAAAATCCGTTTGCGACCATTACTTCCTTGAGAAAAGTTGTTCATACTGATGATATGATCAGCTAATTGAATTTTACTTGTATACATAGGTATATAGATAAATACGTAATGCAGATTAGTATATAGATAAATACGTAATGTAGATCAATATAGATGGAAGTGTATAGATAGGTAAGTACATACCTTACTGTCAAAAACAATTTTTCAGCGGCACTTAAAATTCTATATGCATTAACTTTTTTCTCCAATTCTGGTTGAATATTCATAAGAATTTAATCAAAAGTTTCAATACTAATTCTGGTGTACTGGTGGATATAATCTGTAGTTCTCGTACTTCTTGTGGAACTCTCCATCTATACCCCGAGTCTTATTTAAATCATGTACTCCACAATCTCTTCCAAATATTAGGTCTTGAACCAAAAAAGTATTACTTTCTAAGCAATATCGAGATAATTTCGATAAAGACATTTCGCTGTCGGACTATTGGTCGCAACGGCGAACGTGACTGCCCGTGGCCTGCAAACGGTGTCGCGCGAATGGTCGCCTCGCTCCCCGCTTCGTCGTTCGCACCGCCGATCCCCGTGGCCAAGCCGTTTACATGGAATTTGTTCCTTGAACCGCGTTAATATAATTTTCTTACTTTTATCAACATTTTTTTTGTCGCAATGCTCACAGCTCAGTCCGCAAATACCATATTTTTTGTTTTCCATCTTCCGGTTTTATCAATTGTCCAAAACTGTCAGAACGAGTTGTTTTAAAAGCCACTTTCAAGTTCAATTTTTCGAAAATTTGGACCAACTCAAAGTTGTATTTTGGCTAAGAATAAAAACTCTAAACAATTTTAGACTACTAGATAGAAAAAATATTATAAATTATGAAGGGCATAACTTATTTATTGAGCTTTGAGAACTGTGACCAAAGAGTTCGTTATCATGTCTCGTCGCACATATGCATTTATGGAAATGAGAAAAGTCTAATATCCTTCAACTCTAAACTGGAGCAACATTGCTCGAATTGTAGTACGAAAACTTGCCTATACATTTTGAAAGTCTGGAAATGGCAGTATGACAACGGAAAATGAATTGTCCATTGATTAGTCTTTCATGAACTACTCTATTGGAATTAGCGGAAATTTTGCCGTGAGAAATCATTGATTTATGATTGGAAATTGAAGTGGAAATTCACCCTCTTCTATATGAAAGGATGAAGTTTAGATTGAGGAAGTAGTACTGACACTTCAGGTGATATTATTATCAAATACCGCCTGGAAAAATGTTCTATTTCATTATGTGCAATGACAGTTTGTGTTAGATGTAAACAAGACGTATCTCAAATTGCTGGGGATATTTGTAGGAAATAGTAGAATTTTCAACAGTATTGAAAAGAAAATATTTTGTTCAGCATGAAACTCTGGAATTGTACACTTACACATTCCGTAAATGTATGTTTTAGAGAAACTTTCTGAATATTTTCATAATGAATCTCTGCAGCAACTTGATATAAATAATCACATTTAATCAAAACGATAACTTATATGCATAACGTATATATGCATATAAATTATTATTTTGAATGGAACTTATGGTATCAGCCATTTTGGTAGGCATTTACCAGCTTCTACTTCAGGAGAAGTGATTTTATTGAATTTAGATTCGAAATATTCATTGTCTAATCGCGGGTATCGCAAGTCAAACATTTTTCATATCTCTCTCAATTATAAAATCCTAATTTTGATTCCACCAGTCCAAAATCGGTGTGTGTGTGCAACTAGCGTTACACGTTACATCTATCATTAATTTTCCCCTCCCTGTCTATTTGAGCTCTTGTCTCATTCAACATTCAAGAAAACTCAAATTCAATAACATACAAACCACTCTTATTAACACTTGGTGTGTGTTTCTCTACTTTTCCGGCTCGGCAATTTGAATATATGTGATGCCACGGCTTCCAGGCCTGACCATCAGTGTTGGAGACGAATTGGGAAGAAGTATACTCAGAAGGAAACTTCCCAAAGCTGCCTAGATAGCACAAAATCTCGATGCTGGATATGAAACTACGGACGAATTCCGAATCCAGTAGGTGCTGGCTGCCAGCCATCAAGTCAGGATAGACAGACCTCTCATTATAAATCGTCAGATCCGTCTGAAAAAGAAGAAGTCTCAAGGTTAATAAAAAAACTGAAGTGAAAGGGCGCCAAAATTTTTGAAGCTCAAAAAATTTTGATCCCCATACTAGTGAGTGCAAAATGTGAAAAAAATCTTGGGATTAGAAATAAATTATATAATATAGGTATGCTCCGATGTGAAACAGGGAAAGTTGATCGACGAAGCACTCCGAAAATATACAGACGTCAGAGTCGTTTTGACACATGTTTCAGTATAGCATTAATAGCTTTAGTTTCGCTAAGTTTTCAGTTTTATCTTCCTCTTGAAAATGATCACTTGGTGATCGAAACACGATTTGGTATTGGGAAAAAACTCCAGTAATATACAGGCTCATCAGATGTTATCTGTACGGTATAGCTGAGTGCAATGTTGGACAACACTTGGTTGCAGAAAATTTACAATATGCATAAATATATATACTTTAGCGTGATTCAGTGTTGAAAAAATACTTTTGCTGATGAACAATAACTCGCCCGGTACTGACGATGAGGCTGAAACAGCTGCCTACATGGCTCTTAAATTTAAATCAATATGGGAATGATCAGAATGGTACTAATTTATTTATCTTTTGATTTTCATGGAATCTCCGTTATTAATGATTCTACGAATTCGGTTGAATGGACAAACTAGTTGCATTTTAATGGCCTTGTCGATGTTGAAGACAAAAAAAGACAGTCGCATTTTGAAAATTTTTCATAGAAGTATATTTTTTCATATGGAACGCCCTATATTTTATCATGCATTTCGATTCGTAATAACATTCCGAACAACAAAGCTCATATCACCTCCATCTGAAGATACAGAAATTGACGTTTTAGCCTACTTTGAGGTAAATCCAAACAATTCCATCAGAGATTCATCTAGAGAAATAGCTTTTCCACTATCTGTTATCTAACGAATTTTGAAGAAACATAAGATTCCTCCTTCTAAGTTAAGACCAGTGCAAACAATGGAATCTGATGAACCTGATACACCACTGGGGTTTTGTTGGTGGGTTATGAATAAATGCAAACAAGATTCAAACTTCTATAGGAATATTATATGGAGCGATAAGGATGATTTTGCGACGCGTGGGATATATAATAGGAAGAATTTTCATTATTGGAGTAGACATAATCCATTTCTAGTCCATCCCCATAATCCGCAAAGACGATTCAGTATCAATGGTTGCTGTAGTCTATTAAGAGACAGAATTAACGGTCCATGTTGGTACCTCAATACCTGGTTAATCTACCCGTGGGTTGGGCTACCCTATCGGGCACATCCCCAGGTGGCGGATGAAGGAACAGCCAGGGGACTGGAGGCCCTGTCCGGGAAGCCAATATGGCCTCACGGACGGGGTCGCCGGACTCCTGATCAGTGGCAGAAATAAGTAGGGTGAGGGGAACTGAAATTCCCCAAAAGCCTTTGCAAAACATGCCACCGTGGACCAGCCTACCCAAGCTGAGGTGTTAGGAATCATGCCAACTGCTGAATGGCCGCAGGGTGATATGCGGTTACGAATGATCCCCTTGGGGAACTGGGCAAAACCTCATTGTAATCAGCCTACCTCTGGTAATGCGAGGCTCTGCCAAAGGTGATTAACTCTTCCTTTGCTACTCGTGGAAACACACATGAATGAAACAAACACAAGAACAGAAACAACAAAAATAAAATCCAATCCCGAGCCTGGACAGTAGTGCCCACCTTAATCTAGGGCTACACCTATATTGAATCCGTATTTCTCCAGACCCGATGTCGGACGACCATCGGACGACAACGGAAGAAAAACAAACACTCAAATTTTAAAGGCTGTACCTATATTGAATCCGTATTTCTCCCGACCCGATGTCGGACGACCATCGAATGACATCGGAAGAAAAACAAACACTTAAGTTTTAAAGTAGGTGCCTTCATTGGAAAGGGTAGTCCGATACGACAATAAATTATCACTACCGATTACTGACCGACGAGTAGTCAGTCCGATCTTTCATTCCGACGGAGTGGTAATAACGAATGATAAAATTGATGAAGAGTTTTTGATAATTCTTGTGAGAGATGAGCCTCGCTTTTGGGACCAGCGAAACAAGGATTATCGTAACCGTGACATTAAGCCTAAACTATGGGAGGTTATTGGGGACCAATTACTGGTGAAAGGTAAGTATAAACAATGTTTTTCAATGTAAAGTTAGTATAAATAACTACTAATTGTAATTGCATTATATCATTTTGAAAGATAATATTACGTTCACTCACCTTATTGTTATAGTAAGTTTTTCTTCGGGACTGAGGCATGCTCTGAAGTTAGACTGGCCAGTTATGTCGTTTTTCATACCTTCAAGAATATAGTTAAACGTTTCCATAGTCATACGATGGTAGTCCTTAAATCTATCCGGCTAGTTTTTAATAGGTAGGGAAGTTTTGAAAAATCCCCCGTCAGATTTATCTTTATTGAACTGATGCACCCATACCTTTTTCCTACGTCTTCTATAAAGGAGAACATTCTTTTCTTGTATAAGCCACCACAAAAAATCATCTTCATAGTCACTCAGCCCCCAAAACACATCTTCAACTTTAACCTATCGAGTCGAACTGAGTCCAGTGTAGGCAGTTACAATGATCGTCTCACATCGGGTCGGGAGAAATATGAATTCAATATAGTTGCAGCCTTTAAAACTTGAGTGTTTGTTTTTCTTCCGATTGTCCGATGGTCGTCCGACATCGGGTCGGGAGAAATACGGATCCAATATAGGTGCAGCCTAAGGCGGTAGCTGGAGCGGAACAAAAATGTCCACACCAATCTACCGCTACCGTGATGTACCTAATACAAAGGCCAAGGCGTAAGCGCATTTGCGGAAAAGTTTCCTCACTTGTGCACCTCCACGGAGGAAACCCCAAGAAGGTTGCAGAAGCCGCGCAACGACAGTAATGTCGCTGCACCTTCCAAAACCTTCGCGGAGGCCACCGCACACCTCAAGGTTGCCAAAGAGAGTGTGTGTTCGGCAAGTCTTGGCCTACACCTGACAATATAAAGGACCAAAACCAAAATTGTTAAGTACTCATATCAAAATAATTGAATTTACAGTTTAAAAAAAAAACTTACATCAGGAAATAATTGAGTTGATCTCTTCCACTCATGACCATGAATGCTTGGAGGCAAATGAACAGTTTGGGGATCTTCATAGAGTGAAAAATTCTAAAAATAAAAAACATATCAGAAACATATGCACAGTAAATAAGAAATGAGGTAGTTAGCGTTATTTATGCATTACTGTTATAATTCCGAGATATTAGAGCTTTCCTTATATTAATAGGTATTCAATACTTTTGGAACTAATCGAAATATATTATACAGCTCATTTCAGGAACTCAGAAGAAGCAACTCTGTTATTATTGCTGGTATTTTTCTTCGTTTGATTTGCACCCCATAAAATGAATTCAAATTCATTGAATTTGACAGATGGACAGATGGAAAATAGAAAATTTTGATAAACATTGGCCTAAGATCATCAAACTGCTATTGAGATAAAAAAATCACATTTGGAGGATTTAGATTTGTAGAATTCAATCATTCAGAATTTCGATATGACCAGAATATTCCCAGAAATGAGCAAACTCAATAAAATTGGACTATCAAAAATTCATTTTTGAAATTATATCCTACAATAATCCGATAATAATTTCATATAAATCTGGATTGTGAAGGGATAACATAGAGAAAAATCTCAATTCATAATTCACCTTGTCTTTATCATCGGTGTCCCATTTCACTGCATTAACATCGTGGTCTGACCATTCGGAAAACGAAAGGGAATTGGGATCGGCGCTAACGAATGTAGGAGAAAACAGCTCTTTCTGTGGCTGAAAATCAACACTTACTTGTGAGTCAATCTTTTTTCTTGTCATACTGAATTACTGTTGAAATGTCATCGGGACATTGACAGCTGTATCCAGTGACAACCAGGATACAGCTGTTATGTTATGTAACATATACGGAGAGTTTCTCGAAAAACTTCATAAAGGTGCATAGCTGTTGAATCTTAAGGTACTCTAAAATCGTAGCAAAAATGTATGTTCACGTTGAATTTGAATCACTGCGATACATAAAAGCTAACTAGAATCGAAAAAAAAAATGAGCGTTTTATTAACATTTTTGCAAATATCCGTCTTGAACAATCTGAAGGAAAGGGCAATCAGGAACCTTATACAGGTGTCAACATTGTATTCGTCCAGTTCTCTACGATAAGTTTCTGCATGAGTATTTCACTCAAAAATATTCATGTTCCTCAGTAATTTGTCTTATTTACTAATTTTGTCCATTGAAAAAGCTAGGAGTTTTAAAGGTACTAATCGCAACGTTTCGAAGATCAAATCTTGGCTCCCTCCGTCTTTGGAATCAATTAACCAACTATGTTTTCCAAAAATTAAGAACGGAGCCTTTCCCATTGCCATACTGAATGGATACAACTGATAAACAGTACATTTTTCTGAAAGGAGTTTCCTCTTAATTTTTTTCAAATTGTGGAAAATTAAAATTCTACAGAAAGATCAATGAAAACAGCAGGTCTTGAAAACAATTTGATTTTGTTTGATTTCGTGACGTATTTCAGTTACAAAAAAGATGAGAATTCCTCTCATGTTTGATAAATATATAATCTGTCTCATCTACCATAATCTATCAAAAACGAAAATAGTGTTTGAATCGAGTTTGATTTTTCATATCCAAATATCAATCGATTCAACCAATTTGGGAATCACATCAGAATTTTCAATTACAAAAGTTGAACTGAAAAGTCAACGTTTTTCAATTCAGTGTCATATATTGGTTGTACGTCAACTTCATTCGATTCCGAATGCAAAATATCGGTGCAAGAAATGAAATAAAAAATGATTTGAATCAGTTTCAAAGCGCTACCAATGAGTAATTCATTATCCAGACACTTTGGACATAGTGGTTCATAATAAAATAATTAAATCTGAAATATCACTCACTTCAACAAACTGAACGAACTTCAGTAAAACCAGTTTGCTAGAAATAATAGTCGAATTATTCTTCCATCATGGATAACTATGCTCACAAATCTCAGCAATGTTATTGTAATGATCCAAAACTAAACTCGAATTTTTAAAGACGTTGAACTCATGAATTACAGAAAATATTTCATACGATATGCGAGAAATGAAGGAAATGATATACAGGAATTACCGAGAGTTGTCAAGAAAATACATATTTCGAAAAGAAATGGAAAATATCTACGGGAAAAAATTACAGGTTGAATTCTAAAATTTTTTACAGATGCTTCTGTTTCCCCAAATAACATAACCTGACTGAAATCAATAAAGTTATCACCTACAGAATCATTTCGAAGTATTACTCTCCATAAGTGTAGGACAGATATAACTAAGTCGATAGTGCCATCTGCTACTCTACTGATGTTATCGATTCTTTGTGAAAACATTGCATAGGTCTTGCTGATGATTGAACGAGAAGTATCTCCCAGAAATGTCTATCGGATATAATTCAATGTCTGTCGTGGTACTGATCAGGAAAGTAAATATTTTCCGGGGAGCATTGACCACATCCTACTAGGAGGAAATGTTGGAAAACGTGAATTCAATATATTAATAACTCAGACGTATGTTATTGGTTTCAGTCATCAATCTGATTCCTGAGAATTGTCAACCCAATCTTCAATTCGCAATCCATAACATATACTGAAAAACCAATTTCGATCAGGTTATCTCCACAATCCTTTCAAGACAATTTTCATATTTTAAATGCGAAATTGAATCAGATGCAAATGTTCATATTTAATATCCCTTTCAAGAATTATCCGCCTTTTCCGTGCTTGCATGACTGATTGGAATAAAAATCTGCAGATGAAGCGAATAAAATATACGCACAGAAATGAAATTCAGACTAATTTCTCAAACAAAAGACGGAAATTGATCGCCAGCTTCGTGTTCCACGTCTGCATATTCGGATATTCGAAGACTCCAGAATTTCGTATGCTTGGCAAGCGTTATACTCGTTTAAATCATCTGAATAACTGGGTTTGATTTTTGAATGCGCTTTTCATTACTAGAATTTGTCTTTGGTCTCGACTAGAATATTCAATAATCCTAAATATTTTTCAAAACAGTTCATTTGTTGAAAGGGGTGCTTTTTCATCTAACATGTTGGGAGAGAGAGAGAAGAATAATTGAGAGAAAACCCTTTATATGTCATAGTATGAAACAAAATCACTTTCCGCTGTCTGTCACTATGTATGCTTAGATCTTTAAAACTACGTATCGGATTTTGATGCGGGCTATTTTGATAGACAGAGTGATTCAAGAGAAAGGTTTATATGAATATAACATGCATACTATAGCAGAGAATCACTTATAATTTTTTAGGTTTCTAATGTGATGTTGTAATTAAACACATTTTTTGCGCTTGCATTGCAAACGCTGGTTGAACCCTACGAGATAGATCAGAGAATGTACATAAAATGATCTACAAAAGTCCGTAGTGGTATATGTCTATCTCTTAGGGATAACCCACAATAACCATTTTTTATCCTCGATAAATAAGGTCTCTTCATTCTCTATTCAAACATGTTATCGCTTCAAGTTTATTGCAACAATTAAGATAAAATAAATTTAAATCATGCAAAACGTAATGAAATTTAGATTACGAAAACGAAGTAGATGTTCAAAATGTTCACCGCGGACGTCTTGGCAACATCCTAATCCCAAGTAAAACTGGCTTCTAACATTATTTAACATATCAGGCGTGACCGACCTAAACGCAAGCGTTATTCGCTCTTTTAAATCATTCAAATCTGAAGGTTCAGTTTTGTACAAATTGCCTTCTACATATCGCCATAAAAAGAAATTTAATGATGAAAGATCAGGTGTTCGCGCTGGCCATTCAATCGATCCTCGCCTCCCTATCCACCTTCTCTCATCCAGTGAGAATTTTCCGTTGACCAGTAGCGGCAATATTGCCGATTAGCATGATCGTTAAGAAACAAAGTACACTCATCAGAAACATAACGTCTTCTAATTGAATGATATTGTTATCCAACATGCCCATCATTTGCTCACAAAAATAAGTTCTTCTATCAAAATCGTCTTCCATGAGTTCCTGAGTAAGTATCATTTTATAGGGATGCATTTTATTTTCTTTCAATATATTTACTATCGATGTATGGCTAACATTGAATGTAGTGGATGCCTGTCTACTCGATGTGTGTGTATCTTCAACATACTATATCTTGAAAATAATACATTTCATGACCTATGTTTATGTGAACATTTTTCATTATATCAGCTCCTGAACACGCCTTTACATTCGCCTTTACATTCATATCGAGATGATCCAACTTTTCCAGAAAAGAATTACTGTTTCCTAGGACGATTCTCTTTCTATGAATGGGTTTGAAAAAAATATCTATTCAATATTCACTTGTGAAATTGAAGAAAACATTGCTAGCTCAAACGAGTTTTCTGACCTAAACATCACGCGAAAATCGAGCATGACAACCCTTCCATTCGATAGATTTTCAAAATCAAAAGTTATTAGCTTCATAATCGGTCTTCCGCGTCCAACCAAACGCGCATGAACAGAATCCCAATCCCAAAACGTGAGATATATAAAGTTTGGCGCACCGAAACAGAGTTCCACGAAATCTCAACACGGTTGCAGTTGAACTTCCCAACGTTAACTTCACGCAACTCTCGCGGACTGGAGGTTACCAAAAAATTACTTCTCGGATATCGTGTTCAACTTCGATTATTTGATGGAGGATGGTTCGCGATGAAAAACTCAGATTGAGGGTGGGTGAACTAAAGTTTTTGTCTTATAAGTTATCAAGACTCTAAGAACTAGTATTTGGTGATTGTTTAGCTGAAAAATTGAAGCATGATGTTATTGCTGTCCAAACTCGTTGACTAAACTGTAGAAGAAGAATAAGATTTCAAGGTAAGTTGAGGTTAATGTTCTATGAGGCTTGTAGACCAATGTACCTATCTGTATTTTATCTGTGCACGAAAATAGAAATGCAGTATAGGTCTCCAATTACTTCAGAGAAGAGTGGATGAAGTTTTCCTCAATAACCTCCTAGAATTTCTCAAACCATGATATTTAGCATTTACTTGCAAAACTACCCACGAAATTATAGATTTTGAGTGGAAAAACTTATGTATCAAAAATTCGTCCTCCAGGACATTTCGAATGTATTTTTTGTAAACAGCGTTTCCTAGAAACACGTGTCAACAAAGTACTTGATAATTTATAAAATATTCAATGATACTGCAATACGTTTTGCAAAAATGAAATAATGGTTAATGAAACATAATAATCGAAAACCATGTCATATATCACTAAAACTTTCATTTAACTCACGTTTTTTGACACAAATTGAGTAATACGAAAAATTTCTCCTCATTTCTAGATGGAGGAACAATAAAAAAAAAGTTGAAATAGGTTATTCATGGTTACTTTCATAACCAGGTGAATCACATTACTTTGTTTCATAATCAATTAGATCAGATGGCTCTGTTGCAAAACCAAGAAGATAGAAATTTTTTTTTTCATGATGAATATAAGTTTCTCATAACAAACTTGAATTTGTTAAATTCTATATTATGTCGCATCAGCCGTAGCTGTTAGGTTTACAATTCATAACATATATTTCATAACAATATTTACCTCACTACAGCGATAAAAATCAGATGTTTTTTCATGTATATTTATGTGAACTCCACAATAAGCCTAGTTCACGATATTAGGCTAGAAATATTTTATTGATTCAGTTTCTCTCATTTCAATGTAGCTTAATAGTTTCGTAAATTTCAATTTCATAATATCGTTTGACTCGTACTAGAAATCGCACTTTGAAATATACTACCTTGTTAGTTCTTTTCTCAACCAAGTTTCAACTTCAGAGGATTGTCGTTCATAAAGGGACGACAGCTAATAAATGTAAAAACCAATTTCAATTCCCATTTTGAAAACAAGATAACCGATTACTTTTTTGTAAAATGCTCAATTGTAGGAATAACTTTGTTTGAAATGTTGTCATTCATTTCATGACATGAATATTGGGTTGAAATTACAGACTCACGTCCTGGTGACTAGGTCTCAGTCCTGGTTACGGAAACTTGGTTAGCAAACCGCGCATCTAAAATCAACTCTGGTTGTGATAGTGGATTTTCTTCAGTAAATGTGTTTGTACTCTGTTGAACAGATTCAAAAGATTACCCCTCATGCCCTTATTTTCCATTGTTTGTGGAAGCAATGTGTGAAAATGAAACATTATTTTCCAGGAATGACTTGAGATTTTCAACACTGCAAGTGTCTTGGTATTCCGAATTCTATTCTTGCTTCTTGGTACTTGGGGCAAATTTGAAGAACGTGTTTCACGTGATACTGCTCCATCACATATATCACAGATTGTGTGTTCCTCGCGTGATAAAAGGAAATCGGTCGAAAATTTGGCATATCCAATTCGAAGTCGACACAGAATTACCTGATGTTTTCTGGTTATTGGAAGGTGTGTCCAGGGTCTTACGGATAGCTTCATTTCGTTCAGTTTCGAATTTGTCCCAAGCCATTCCCTCTCCCACTCGTCTATGATCTTATTCCTTATGTATCTTTTCGTATCCGATGGAGTTATTTTGGTGATTATCCTTGACCTATGATTCTCTATGGCTTCTTTGGCTGCAATATTAGCTTTTTATTACTAGCGATTCTGATATGAGATGGGACCCATATCTTTTTTCCCCAACTCTTCGATTCTATAGAGTTTATTTTTCATTATCCTGTATATAACTGCTGCGTTCCTCCAATAACACTCAAAGAGTCTGTTACAATCAGAATGTTACAATTAGAAGGATGATTCTTCAGGAATATTAATGCTTGTAATATTGCAAAGAGTTCAGCTGTATATTATATACATGTAGCTTGGAGTGTTTCATCCACTACAGCTGAGCCAACTCCCTGATCTCTTTTTGAGGCATCGGTGTACAAAGTTACATGGTTCTCATATTGGGTTAGTTTTTGAAACGGAATGAAGAGGAGTCACATATAGGAGGATTAATTATCCAAGGAGGAGGGGTAGTTATTGAGTTAGAAAATAATGGAGGAAGTGTATGCCCTAACTGTTTCAAGTATTTGTTCATCCTTTCATAAGGGTCTTGTCTTGGTTGTCCCGTGAAATTTTGTTTAAAACGAGTTGAAAAAATATTATAATATGTGAAATGTGTTGGTTTGGTTGCAATAGAAGTAGCATAAGAGGGACTCATATATTATCTACGGTACCTTAGAGAGGTTCCATTTGCATCGCAGGATATACTTTCTGTTGGGCTCCTAACGCTAATCGAAGAGCTGTATTTTGAACGTCAGGTTTTTAAATTGTTGACTGGCTTGCAGAAGCATTTGCTATTGATTCGTAATCGATTCTGGACTTAATAAGAGATCTATGAAGTCAAATAAGTGTGGTTGTGTCAGCACCACATGTTGTGTTGGACAGCATCCTCAACAAATTTAAACATGCCTGGCAGTTTTTGATGAGATGGTAAATGTGTGATTTCCAATTCAATTTTCGATTGAAGATCATTTCGACAAATTTTATGTCGTCAACATATTCCAGATTTTGCCATAGAGTTGTAGCGGAAATATTTGTAACTTATGTCTTATGATTTTTATGTAACAAATAAAATAATAATTTGATTTTCACAATATTGTCGAAACAATAAATTCATCAGTTTTATAAATTCAGAAATGTAGGTCACCACCACTTTCTGAAATTCACCTTTCTAGCTATGACTCAAATGCAACCTTGAACTTTTCACTTTTCCCTGGAAAATGTTCCTCGAATCAGGGCTACAGTGTCAAATCCTGAACATCTGTAAAAGAATAATTCTCGCGAGGTAAAACGGTGTTTCTATGAGAAAACTTTGGAATTTATGGTCGATCTCTTGTCTTCCACCTCGGCGGGAAGAATTTATAGTTTCATCTGCGCCTGATCCCATGTTTTCTCGTTTTGCTCGAGACAGTTATTCTAACTTGAGTTATGCATTAAGGAAAGGGGTGGACTTATGAAAGGGTTGTCTAGTTGAAGTGGAACTTCATCAATGATCACGTTTTAGGAAAATCAAAACTGTGAAAAACCGGTTTCGAACAACAGTGTGGACCTCATCAGTTCATGATACTAACTACTTCATTAATCAGAACTTTTGCTTCAACAATAAATCTCTCTTAGTTCTTTCCTAGTTACTTTTCTATATATGAAGGAAACGCAAGTTGCTCTTTGATTTAGATCGGAAATATTTGCCTTGCTGACTTTCCCGCTAGATTATCCGACTGCAAAACAAAATTTTTTTCAGAACTTCGATTATTAAAAATTGAATTCATCTTTTATTTTACTCTAAGAAAGTTTTCAGAATGTAAATCAATAGGAGCGTCCATACACCACACTTTTACTTTTTATTTTACTTTAAGGTGTTGGTTATTACTCAGGGATTCCTTAAAGCAAAAGATCCTCTATTGAGGATTCATTAAAGCATGTATTCCCAATTTTATTTGGCTACGAAACCCTAATCTAGCATACATTTTTTGACGGAACCCTAGCTGGGTTATTTAGATAACTGAAGTGTTCACATAGTAGTTTGAGTATTTTTATGTTACGTCTCGAAGAAACGAAAAATTATAAATAAAAAATAATCATTTTATTGAAACAACTATTCAATGTAAAAAATTAAATTTTGTAATACATTTTCTTATGATAGTAATAAAAGTAGGCTGTTTTATACAAAAACTGGATGCGAAGTTCCGAAACTGCATCCAGTCTGTTTCTGTATTTATTTTTTTTGTGAGCGTAAGCCGAAAATCCAGTCTTGCATCAGTATGTCGTCACGAATGTAAGCATTTCAATATATCCTAAAAATATTTTCTCACAATTGAAATATATAGATATTCCAATCCAATCCCATTTTGGTCTGAGAAATGATATATTTAAATATATGTCCTACGACATTAATTCTGAAGCATTTCAACCATTCTCATTTTTTTCCATTTATCATTTTATCCATCTTTTCTCATTCATCTTCATTATTTTATTTTTTCCTTTTTATTGTTTTCATATACTTGACGATCACCTCATTAATAAACCCTTTTATCAATTCATCTTCACTTGAAGTCACAATTTTTTTTCTACGATTGGCGTTCTTACATTTTTAGAATTCCATACCGTTTACTTTTCAATTTTTATTGAATTTTTCAATAATTGTTCCTCATTTTTAGCAATAATACTATTCTTACTTATTGAAATGGAGAGTTGTTGGCCTTCCACTTCTCCATTTTGATATAAAAAATGTGGGAATCTTTCAAAGAAAGGAAGGAAACAGTCAATTTCAAAATTTAACTCTTCACAAAGAAGTAACTTTCAGGCATAAACTGGAATAAAAAGCCCTCTCGAAATAGCTCTTTTCATTCAAACATTGAGTTACACGAAAGAAAAAAGTTCTTTCGAAACAAATACTTTTATATGAACGCTGAATTATACGAAAAAGACGTTTCTCTATTCAGTAAGTATTCCCACATTCGTATGGAATCGAATCAGATATCTTTCACAGAATTCCTACACGATATGATTAACGAAAGAAAAATTTCAGTTACATCAAATCTTGTGCTGCAGTTTCAATTGAAGGATATAAACTAGTGAGAAATGATCGGCTGGTCAGAAGGGGTGGGGGGACTGCTGTATATATAAGAGATGGTCATTCTGAAAGATACTCTGGAGTTTTTAGAACAGTTATGGCTTGAGGTAAAAATAGAAGGAGTAAAGTATGATCTAGGTACAGTATATAGACCACCCAATTCGGATAATACGTGTTTCCTAAATAAGATACAGATAATTGATGGCCCCACCCGGGTTTCTGAAAATAATGTCTCTCTTATAGATTTACTGTTTACTAATT